AACCTTTACACAGTATGTCATTTCACTGATATTTCCAAGTAAGCGGTCTGCTTCTGCACTGATTGGAATTATTTCTGTGACTTGGTGGTTCAGCGACAGTAAAGATTATGTGAACGGTTACAAACCACAACTAGATGTTTTCTAATCCAGGAAGGATGGTGCCTAGCCTAGAGGAATATGGCTCTATTTTTAACTGAATGGTCTGAATTCATGAAGAGGAAATATCTGCCAATTTAGTCAAAGAAATCAAGCTTTTTGCAAACCTATTTATTTTGCTTCAAAATCTTACCTAATGGTCATCATGAAGATGCAGTGCTGAGCTATTTTGACCTGCTTGTAATTTTTTTTTGTTTGTTTTTCCTCTCCAAAACAAAGAGCCTAGATAACATAAAAATTGCTTCAGTATCTAAATATGTAACCCCAGTTTAGCTGTGCTACTGCTGGTTTTGTGGAGTTATCCCCACCTTGTTGCAGTTTCTTATACGCTGTTATTTGTGGCTTATTAGGTCTAAATGGACTCTCCTGCTGCTGGAAAGCACAAGAAAAAAGATACAAAAAGGGGGTAATGTGCTTTTAAGCTGGTAAAAGGAAGTATGAGGCCTTTTGAGCCGAGTACAGGAAATGTACTTCCTGAAAAGTCTAAAAATTCCAAATCTTTGAGGTTATTATCAGTGCTTGCTGTTTTTACTGACATTTTACTTCATGCTTCAAAGAGTAATTAATTCAGCAGATGGGAATCAAGAATAAGGCAAGATTTGAAAAGTGTTTTTTCTCTTCTGCAGTTTTGGGTGTAAGCTTGCTGTGATACCAGACAAATGCCACAGAGATATGTATTGATTTGGGATTTTATCATTTATTTTTTCTAAGCCAGGTTTGCATGCAAAGACAAAGCATTAAGAACCCTCAGATTTTCCTCGTGCTTTCTCTCCCAAATGCTATGATCTCTTAATTCTCGAATCACTATGAAACATACAGCATTTACTCCTTGGAAATGAATAGGGACTTGAGATCGGGGTCTCTCCCAAAGAATGGATTCATCCAGATGTTTAACATTTTTAATATTTGAAGTGTTTTCAAGATCAAAGTCGAAGGAGTGTAAAGGGAGGGGGTATGAGTTTTTTCTTTCTTGTTTTAAATTGTCATATATCTTTCTCAATACCCCTTTTCCACTTATCTTGGGAATGTGCTCGTCAAAGAAGGCTGTTTATATGCTCTGAAATTAGAAGCTTGGACTTCTTGGCCTCAAGTAGTTCTTGAGGGTTAAGAATGCATTTATGCTGTGAAAATGAACTTGGTTCAGTGCAGGAGCATTCTGCTGTCATGGCAGGCTGCAAGTAGTCATTAGGCTGTTCATTTCAGAAATTTCACATTCTGGTATTGAAGCAGTTAATATTTTATATTGGAGGTTTTGGATTGTCAGTGTTTTAAATGGAGAAGTAGTTACGTGTTCTTGTGAGATAATGCTGCATATCCCCCGATTAAATGACTTCGATTTCACTAGAGGTCCTATTAAAGAATACACGAGAGATTTGTTAGAGAATCAAAAGGCTTCACTTAAAGATGCTTCCTGTAAACTGTAGTCCAGTTCAGTGGGACCTTGTCAGACTGCCCTGCATTTGGTAATAACCTTAATGGTTGTGTTAGAGAGCCTTTATTTAGGAGTAAACAGTATCTGAATGCTGTATATCGAGTTTCTGCTTTTAGGAAGATGAGATTATATTCCTCACAATTATCTTCAGAAGAGGCAAACTTGACCTGTAGATAGGAGGAAAAACACTGTCGCCGAGATGCAGTATTCATGTGGCAGAAAACAAAGAGCATCCGGTGGTGGTGCTGGTGGTGTGGGGTTTGTTTATTTATTTCTCGTTGGGAAAGAACAGAACAGTTTTTGCCTCTAGACTGTGCATAAGTCAGTAACCAGATTCTTCTGCCTTTCTGTTGCAGTGTCATACACATATGTGTAACTCTATGATTATAGGGCTGGCTTTTTTAACCATATGTGTCAAAACAATTTTTCCTGGTTTTGAGGAGTACTTCAGCGTAGTATCACAAAGCAGCTATTTCCAAACTTCAGGTATCTGTGAGCAGTGACCTGAGCAAACGTGCTGCAGCGTTTGCTGCCCGGGTCTTGCAGCCTGTTGCAGTCGATCGCTTTCAGCAAGGAGGGGGGCAGGTCTGTCAAATGTGCAGCAAAGCTGGGTACTGGGGTGGTGTGAGACCCTTGTCTTTAAGGTAGAGGTAAAGTCTAACCCTTCCCTTCCTGCCAAAACTCACTAGTGCTGGTGGTATTGGTGGTGTAAACATGTAGGTAAAGGGGATGGGTAGAATTTTGGTGATGGTGGTGTTCTGCCTGAACTCTCTGGTGGAAGAAAAGCAAGTTTCAGCTGCTGTGGGAGTCCAGTAAAGCTTTCTGTTCAACAGCCGTGTTGCTACCCATTTTTATTGGTGTTTTAAATTAAATAGAATTTAATTTAATAGAATAGAATTATATATTTTAAAAAAAAAGTTTTAAATGTTTCGTTGAGTGTGAAGTTTTCTGAAACCTGATGCTTATCTGTTTTGCCAGCCTTAAGTTACCACACAGATAAACGAGTATTTGCATCATTCCTGTGCTGGCACAAACAAAGGGGGGAAAAAAAACCCAACCCTTTGTGTAGATAAGAGAGGAAGAATAACATTGTTAGTGTTTTTATGTTCTGTTTTACTGCTAATAACGCTCTTTAAATTAGTAAGAATAAGCAGTCCTAATAATAAATGTACTTTTCTGAAGTGTTTGTTCATAATTCTATCTAAAATCTAACATTACCCTTGGCTCTGTTGTGACTGCTTTAGAAAGATCCAGTATCTTTTCTACTAAATAAATATAAATGAAAAAGAAAAATAATAAAAGTAGTCCTCTAATGAATAATAGAAGGTCCCATTAGCAGGCTGCCTTCAACTATTTATAGATTTTTAGGTGATAATAATATCTTCTGTAGAAATTGGGAACAACAGAAATTATAAAGCTAATACTGAGGATAAGCTTACTCCTTTTGGTTCTTTAATTTTAGGGTTGTGGGTTGTTTTTTTTTTTTTTAATTTTTTACTACTTGTAAGATTTCCAAGGTACCACCATGGCCTTTGGAGAAATGTAATAATATTCTAGATGTAATAAGTGAAAAGTTTCTCCTGACACTGAATTTATGGAGTTGGGCAAGGGCAGTCTAATCCTGGTCACTCAGCTGAGCCAACAGATGCTTTTATTTTTAAATGTTTTCCTAACTTGGAAGCAGAACGGAGTAAACTGAATGTTCCATCTGTAGAGGATGCTGAGATGGTCTTCAGCAGCTGTTGTAGACCTGTACACGCTGGGCAACAAAATAATTTTCCAAATGTTCTGCGAGCCTGTGTATATGAGTACAATGTCATTATCCTCTTGGAGGTGAGAGCGAGGTGTCATTTGTCAGTTACAAAAGAATTGCCCTTTTTTAACAATATATTAGCTCCTGTGGAATTATTCAGTTGCTGACGACCATTTGTACTCGGTGTCTGTGAATGAAATTCACATTTTTCTTACCCTTTGTATTAGTAACAGTTGAAACTGTGTTTTGAAACTGCCGCGATTTGGAGAGGGATCATGACACTGTGTTATTTTATCAATGCTGTTGAATTTTTGTTTATCAGTTTAGGAAAAAAAATATTCACAAATCACTTAAATCAGTCAAGAAAACCAAGCATTTTATATTCCTGAAATCTGGAACTGTGTACTCAAGCTATAACATTCTGGTTGGGGTTTTTTGTTGGTTGGTTGTTTTTCCCTGGTTTGAGATCAGCCAGTATTTTATGGATGTCATAAAAATAGGACTGGTTTTGACTTAAACCAGGAGGGACATGCGGGAGGACCAAAGTTTGTCGAACAAGCTCTTTATATAAACCTGGCTGACAAAGCTGCTCTCAGTTCTGAACATACAAACATGCTCTGTATTTGTTGTGAAGCTGTTGCTGGCTTGTTGGATACCTGACCAATTGTCAATGCACACTTTTAGAATAGTCTGGAGTAAACTGGAGTTTATTAGTGAAAGAGAGACACTTTCATACGATAGTAGACTGTGCTGGGACAACATACACGGTACTGGAGCTGGAGTACTTCATAGCTTTGATTTTACTGCCTTATTGCATGTAAATGTGTGCTGTATTTTAGAGGGGTTTACACACATTTAAATTGTGTAGTTTCACAGAAACAGCTCAAGTGTTTGAGTTTTTTTAGAATAATTAAATACAATGTTTGTATTGGGAAGTTCTTCCAGTATTTCCTCAGGTTGCATCATATTTTTTTGTCTTGCATAGGCTGTGTTTGGTGTGATTGTTTGTTAGGTAGTGTTTGAAGATCTGTAGAGAAGATGGTGGGAAGTCTGTGGTAAGCCTCTTGAAATTTTTCGCCTTCAGAGTTAACCATTAGAGTCTCCTTTCACCCCTGTGTACCTTGGATCTTGGTTACAGATGGAAGATAGGATTAGCCTCAAAGAAAAAATCAAGCTATGTAATGCTGCAAAGACAAATATTGCTTGCTATAGGAATTGAAAAGTCAAATGTTCAGGTTTGTTTGTTCTGAGGTGCTATAGAACTGGAATATTGTGGTAGGTTCAAGAACTTCTTAAAAGAAGAGTAACCCCTGGTGGCGGTGATGAAGTCCGTATTTCAAGAGTAATTTGAGTCCATGTTACGTAATTTAAGTAGGAAATAGTTCATCCTTCATCCAGTGAAGCTGTTGGAAAAGAGGTCTGACTTCTGTATGCAAAGTCTTGATAACCACCCACTGTGACAGGCGGTCACGGAAATTTATTTAACATATGTTTCTGTTCAGAGAATTATCTGGGAGGACTAACTTAAAATTTAAACAACACTTTTAAAATGTCTGTACTTACAATTTTTAACACTGCTAGGTTGGAGGTATTCCTTCATGACACTCCAAAAAGGTGGTTTATTAACTTTCCTAAAAATACCTCTGAATTATTCAACAGGTTCATGAACCACCCAGCTCCAGCAAACAGCCGCTACAAACCCACTTGCTATGAACATGCTGCTAACTGTTACACACATGCAGTAAGTACATTTCCTTTTTTGTTCGTTTGCTTTGAACCAGATGTTTTATGGGTTTTTTTATGGGTTTGGATGGCTAAACGCTTACCTTTGCCCGAGTGTATTGATATTTACAACCTCTCTGGTTTTGTTACATCAGCTTCAGCTCTAACAGTCCAGAAAATGTAACATTAATTAGACAGCTGGTAATTGCTAGTCCTTCTTCGGAATCTGTAGGAGCTCCAGGTATTTCATACGATTCCTTTTCATCAAAGTTACAGGTCTTTAACTGGATGCCTTTCCTCTGTCCCAGTTGAAAGATGACTATGGTAAAGTGAATATAGGCCTATACTGGTTAGTCTTGCCAGGCAGATTTCCCAGTACTGTGCTGACATAATACTGTGTGAATTGTGTCCTGCAAGGACAAGAAAGGTGTGCTCATGGTAGAAGTGGAAGGCTTCATAAGGCGTCATGCGAGTATTGGCTAGAAGAGCTGGAATGGCTTAGTTGGACACTTAGTATCTCTGAAGTGATTCTTTGAGAAATCTGCTGTTTTGAAAGAGGCACTAATAATGCTGACAGCCCCGCTACAAATCCTAGTCTGTCCTTATCTTCGTCATGTAAGGACCCACACTAGATTTGTATGTACGATATACACAAATTAAGGAAAGCAGTCTCTCTCTCTCTCTCTCTCTCTCTTTTTTAGGAATTGGGAAGTTTAATTTGCTGTCTGGCACTTTGAAAAGGACTTAAAAATGTGCATGTTTGTTTTTTAAGATAGCATTTGCCCTTTTGTAAAAGCAGCTTGTGCTTCTCCTCAATCCCTTGTTTAACTCCAAACTTCTGAAGTATGTTTGACTTTGTCCTCAGTCTTATCTCCAGTGTGTCTGAGTGAGCTACAGATACAAATGCTCAAGGTAGGGCAGGGGGCTCTTCAGTTGTAGAAAGAGCTCTGTTCTTAAGGATCCTTTATGTATATTTTATAAATAACCAACATACAGCTCTTCGTTGCTGGTAAAACCAGAATCTCCTTAGATTACCTACAGAAAAGCTAACTGAGAAAACTTATGTTTTTAAGCCAAGGGTCTCATGTACAGCATTAGGTAAATATATGCTTATTTGTCTTGAGAGTGAAGCAACATTCTGTTAGTTAGCACAAATATGTAGTTTATCTCATAATTCTTGTACAAATCTTGTTTACTCTGGCTAAAAAGTTAGATTTCAAAATATCTGGCAGAAGTTGCTGTACTCCTGCTAACTCCAATTCTACCCTTCATCTAGTTGAAAAACAGGCACATCTTATTCCTGCCTGTTAGCAGTAGGTTACAGCCAAGATGTCGTACCAATGTTTTCTGGTACGCTGCAG